GAAGGCACCCCAACTCCCCAATCGGCCCTGCTCTGAGCCCGACCAGGGGCTGCACCTAGGGTTTGGGCCTGCCCTCTGCCACCCGGGAGCAGGCCTAAGCCAGCAGGTCGTTATCTCCTGAGGGGGTCTCAGACTGCGAGAGGGCACAGGCCGGGCTGAGGGACCCCCCGCTTCCCCCGAGTGCACCAATTTTTGTGTACCGGGCCTCTAGTAGAATATAATACTTGATAATGATAATAAAATGACTGTGTTACTGGTTTGTATATTTGCTGTACTTTTAATTGTCATTTACAGTGTACTCTTTCTACTAATAAAAAAAAGCTTGGTATAAAACAGTATGCTGTATTAAGCCAGCAGCAGCCAGCCTCATACACCTCGTGTTTACCATGTTTGATTGCATCATTTTCTCATGTGCTCAACTTAATCTCATGTTGTTTTGTATGGTAACATATACTGTACAGGCTCGTGGCCTAGGTGTGTAGTTAGACCATCTAGGTTTGTGTAGTGCACTCTGATGTTCATATGACAAAATTGCCTTTTGATGCATTTCTCAGAATGTACCCTAGTTGTCAAGTGGTGTATGGCTGTATTTTAAGGAATTGGCTCACATGATTATGGGGGCTGGCAAATCTGAAATGTGCAGGGCAGGCCAGCAGGTTGGGGATTCAGGGAAGTGCTGATGTTGCAGCTTGAATCTGAAGGCAGCCTGGAGGCAGAATTCTTTCTTCCTTGGGGTCCTGTATTTTCTCTTAAGGTCTTTAACTGATTGAATAAGGCCCACCCATGTTATAGAAGATAATCTGTTTTACTAAGTCTATGGATTTAAACGTTATTCATATTTTTAAAAAAGTCTTCATCTAAATTGGAGTTTGACCCTAAGACATAGCCTAGCCAAGCTGACACATAAAATTAACCATCACACAGACAGTTGTTATCATATGCCTCCTAGTAATAGATTGTTTCATTATTGAACTTATCTATAAATGTCAGATTTTCAGGGTTTTTTTCCCCCCTTCTTATTTTGTGGAGAAATAAAAAGCTTGTGTTCTTTTTACAATGGAAAGTGCCTGTGGTATGTTCAAGTCGTGCTAGGTACCTACCTTCAATGAATACCTTAGTTAACTGATTATAAATACCTTTGGTTTTCATAGTAGTCTTTGGGAATTTCATATATGGAAAGAAGAGAAAACAAAAAGACCACCACAAATCTTTCACTGTCCTACCTCCATGTGAACTTGATGTGAATCTTTTTCCATATTACTTCTGTTTGAATATATGTGGGTCATCAGTCTGCTTCTCGAAGATAAGGTTCATGCCAAGTAGGGTATCCGGATGCTGTGAGTGAGGCACACAGACCCAGTATAATTTCTAACTCGAGCCTAAGTGGAAATGCTTCAGTCCTTCCAGAGAGCATACTGATGATAAAAGTCTACATAGTTCTCTGCTCACTGACATAGGACAGAGTGATACTGGGTTCTTCTGGGGTGGACACCTTGAAATCTTTTTTTTTTTTTTTTTTGGAATAAAGACTTTCTTAGATAAAAGGCTTCAAGAGTGCTAAGATTTGTAATATGTAGACGTGAGCTATCTGGAGGGAAAGTAGGGCTACCTGAGATTCAAGGTGTGCTTTTGGATTGCTAACCTGCTTGCGCTAAATGTTGAGTAAAGACTATATTGTTCCCAAGTGAGTTTTACCTAGTCCACCCTAACCACTTTAGTTTTATGGTTAGCCTGACTACGACGTATCTTTCTAGTTCATGAAAATGACCAACTTCAGAATTCCTATGCCTCATTCACACAGAGACTTAAGTTACAGGACTCTTAAAGAGAAAAATCATGAGTGTCTGAATGTTTTTGAATAAAATTATATTATCAGATTCTCTCTCAAGCACAGTTATCTCCAATGTGGGTGCCTGAGGTGGGCCATTGGGTGCAAGAGGAAGTGATTAGAATTTCTATTTAAATTACATTTTCAAACAACCAGTTCTGTTTTGTCTAGGTTTTATAATAAACATAAGTGTTATGCTGATATTAGTATAGAAACCAATAAATATGTGTTGAGTGAGAGTGCTAAAAAAATACTGAGCTGAAAAGGTATGTAAGAAATGTTTGGTGATCTCTGCTGTAAGCATCCTCAAGTGAGGGACTTCGCCCTGAAGTGCGTCCCACTAGAGGGCGATGTGTGCTCAGGGCAGAGAGTCCTGGATACTCTAGTCACAAACACACTTCATTGGAAGGAACGTTAGTGTTGCCCATTTAGGAGTAATTATATTGCATGTTGACTCAACACCAGAAAGATCTGATCTGAGTGAGTGGTTGCTTTGTGATTAATATGCTGTTTAATGAATAAGACAAAAAACTACATTTTACCCTGTAAGTTAAACTGGTCATCTTTTCTTTTTTTTTTTTTTTTTAAATATTTTATTGATTTTTTACAGAGAGGAAGGGAGAGAGATAGAGAGTTAGAAACATCAATGAGAGAGAAACATCGATCAGCTGCCTCCTGCACATCTCCCACTGGGGATGTGCCCGCAACCCAGGTACATGCCCTTGACCGGAATCGAACCTGGGACCTTTCAGTCCGCAGGCCGACGCTCTATCCACTGAGCCAAACCGGTTTCGGCCATCTTTTCTTAATAATTGGTCAGAAAGAATAACTGGATGGAGCCTTCTGAAACACTTAACATGAAATTATTTTTTACAATATGACTTTGGCATCTACTCGTGTGTGTGCGTGTGTGTGTGTGTGTGTGTGTGTGTGTGAACATATGTATGTGTACTAGTATGTATGTGAATGGCAATGTTGCATCTCTGTTTACTCACCACAGAGTTTGCTGTTTTCTTGACTTCTGAGTCACATTATATGTTTCTGGAATCCATGTATGAACCATGCAGCTGTATTGATTGCTCAGCTCTGTGACCTCAAACAAGTTATTGGTGGGCTCTGCACCTTTAGTGCTCTTACTTGTTAATCAGCATAGAGCACTTGACCCACTTGTCTCTAAGGAGACATAGTACTTTCAGTATTATTAAGCACTATGTAAATGTGTTTTAAATTGTTAGTATTAGTAATAATCATTATTAGGATTATATTAGAAGAACCAATATAATGTTATGTTGGAAGTTATAATTCTCTGATAAGGAGGAGTTGTATAAAGTCGTGTAGTTGGTATTCAGAAACACATCACACTTCTTCAAAACGAACTTCCCCTTTTTGATTTTATAATTTGTTAAGGCTTAGACAACGTGATAGATAA